TCTTAATTAGAAATTGTTTGTAACATAAAATGCTTATGGATACAAATTACATCACGCTTCATTTCGCTAATTGGCTATGATAAGACCCAATCCAGACGTGGAGAAGATTGAAGGAAAGGCGCATAATGCAACTTAAATTAAATAGGATTTGCTTATTAACTTAAATTAAATATACTTTTGAATTTTATTTAAATTTTTAAGGACAAGAAAAAAAGTGAAAAGTCAAATCAATTAAAATTTCAATTGGCTACTAAACTTTTTTTCCCCTTAATTTTTTAAGTTACTAGTCTCTAATTTATGATAATTTAATAGATAATATTATTTTTGAATTATTTGTAAAGTAAAAGATTGTTAATTATGAATTAGAAGTTAATTAGGAGCTTTTTTTAAAATATAATTTGGGGGGATCGAACCCTGCACAGCTGGTCACAAAGGCAACAAAAACCATTGGGCTGACAAACTTTATTGTTCAAGGGTGTCCAAAATGACTTATTTAATCATCTAAAATTATATATACGATATAATTTTCCGATAAAGAGTGTCAAGTCTAATTGGACACCCTCAGCCTAGTGTAGCTCCACCCATGCCTAGAGGATTATAACTTGAATGGTGCAAATTATTGAATGAATGAACGTTATGCTCAACAATTTGTAATCAAGACGATCATCCACTTATTTTTTCTTAATTTGTTTGTATTATTTATTAACAAGTCCAACATTTAAATCATCCCTTAATCTTAATAGTGATAATTTTGAAAAACTTTGATTTTCTTAACAAAACGTAAAGTCTATGTCGTAAAATAGAATGTAGAGACATTGATGCTTGATTAATTCATGAAACATCATTTAGTTGGGAAGTCAACGGAAGATGCACGCTATTGTCGGATGACAATTTGAAATGTTGTAATTTATGTCAAATTTTTTTAAAAAAAATTGCGTAGTTATCAAGAAAAAAATTATTCATCAATTTAATAAGATCATTTAAGACCGCGCAAAGCATGGGCAAATTACATAGTTGATATATAAAATACAAAATTTCAACTGACTAAAAGAATGTATAATATAAAGTATGTAATTCATTAGTGAAGAAATCAAAATATAAATAAACATAAGAATTAGTCAAATTTAATATATATATATATATATATTGTGTAAATTTTTAATAGAAAAATATGAAGAATTGTCATGAAAATGATGAAAATAAGGAATAGGAAAGGTTGTGAATGTTATTATACATTGTATTAAAATAATGTGAATATACATAGATGTGAAAAGTGAAGTATAAAAAAAATTTAAAGAAATACTTTTGTCATTTCACCTATTTTATCCTAGCATTACTATTCCACATAAGGAGATGAATAACTTATCTCAATACTAATTACTAATTTTGAGATAAATTATTCCGGACTTGCCAACCAAACAACAAATTAAGTGGCACCATAGTTTAATCCCAAAATATTTGGTGTTATCCTTAACACCAAACGACCCCTAAAACTTCTTTTCTTTTCCCCTTTCATCTTGATTAAATACAAAATAATGCCCCTTTTAAAATTAAAGATACTTAAAATAACATTCGTCCTAGAACATATAAAAAATAAAAATAAAATGAAATGCCAAAATATAAACACCCACTATGCATATCTTACATAAACTCTCAATATAAATTATTTTTTTTGAAACTCATTTGATTGCCTCGAAAATCATGGTACTCATCCCCGCTAATCATAAATCACCCATAGAAAAAATAGATAAATTCCACAAAATGACCAGAAGAGTCGTTAGACTGGAAGCAAAAAATCCAGTTTTAGCAGCTAGAAAAGGACAATAATCCATGGAAAAAAATAAATCCAAGGGATGTTTGAATAAATTAGTTAGGCTACCAGCAGACGAAAGCATTTAACAGGTCCCTCTATTTCATTTGATATTTACATATTATGGAATATAAAATTAGCCATAGGAATTAATAAAGTTTGCAGCCTAGAAATGTCCTCCAAATGGCAGCAATTTAAGACTTTTGCTTTCCCCATCAACTAGCCATCTAACTATTACCTACAGAAGATTACAAGTAGAAAAAGTCATGAAGAGTTCATGACTTTTTTCCCCTTGGCAGAATATAGAAAGTTTCTTTAACTAACAACTTAAATATTACCTAGTCATGAAATAGCAACGCGTACAAGCATGAATGAACTCATAGTCTCCTCAGTATATCCCCCAACTGGGAATTTGCTGGAAGCACTTATTCATATCTCTAACGAAGTATTTTCAATGGAAAAGCTTCCATTTGTACAGATGAAAAACATTTCAAGTATGGTAAGAAGGATCAAGATTCTTACTTCATTGTTTGAAGAAATTCAAGAAACATCATCCGCTGCACGACTTCCACCATCTTCCATCCTCTGCTTGGCTGAACTTTCATGTGTCATACAAAAGGTAAAGCTGCTCATTGAAATTTGCAAAGAGGGAAGCTCTTTGTGGAACCTCATGCAAACAGAATTGATTTCCAACCAATTTCATGCACTCATCAAGGAGATGGACAACGCACTTGATATTTTACCTCTGAGGTTGCTTAATGTGACTGTTGACACCAAGGAGCAAGTGGAGCTACTTCACAAGCAGGCGAAAAGGGCTGATTTGTTCATTGATCCCCGAGACATTCAGAAAAGGGAAGAGATTCTGCAGTTGATGGCTACTAACTGTGATAGGAAAAGCAAGAACAGAGGCCTCATTGACTTTGAGAGAGTGAAACAGAGTTTCAATAGCATTGGTTTGACAACCTCATTGGACTATGAGGAAGAGATCTCAAAATTAGAGACACAAGCTGAGAAACAGGCAGGCACGGGTGGTCTTATCGCTGTCTCGAATATCAACAGCCTAATATCCTTGATCTCCTTGTCAAAAACTGCAATTTTGGAAGAAGAACACCTTATGAATAAGCAAAATTTGAAGCAGACCGTATCGATAAATGTTCTTCCTGATCAATCCTCGTCGTGTTATTCACTGGTTTCCGACATCCCTGATGAATTACGCTGCCCAATTTCACTTGACTTGATAAGGGATCCCGTGATAGTAGCATCAGGGCATACTTATGATCGAAATTCAATCGCTCAGTGGATAAATTCAGGGCACCACACATGTCCAAAAAGTGGGCAGAGGCTCATACATATGGCCCTAATTCCCAACTATGCACTGAAAAGTCTAATACAACAATGGTGCGAAGACAACAACATCCCAATAACAGAATTCAAATCAACTCCTTCAGATTCAGAGAGTAGCAGTAGTAAGATTAAGAAATATGACAAGGCGCTTGACTACATTTCTGCTACTAAAGCTTCCACGGATGCTGTCAAAATGACCGCAGAGTTTTTAGTTGGGAAACTGGCAACAGGGTCTCCAGATATACAGAGACAGGCAGCATATGAGCTAAGATTGCTCGCGAAATCTGGCATGGACAATCGCAGGATCATAGCTGAGTCTGGAGCTATTCCATTTCTGATGACTCTGCTAGGTTCCCGCGATCCAAGAATCCAGGAGAATGCAGTCACAGCCTTACTCAACCTCTCAATACATGAGAATAACAAGATCCTGATTATGTCTGCTGGTGCTATCGACAGCTTAATTGGAGTTCTCCAATCTGGGAAAACAATGGAAGCAAGAGGAAATGCAGCAGCAGCAATCTTCAGCTTGTCTGTAATAGACGAATACAAGGTAATCATTGGGGCACGTACCAAAGCCATTCCAGCTTTGGTTGGACTTCTAAAAGACGGAACTACAGCAGGGAAAAGGGATGCCGCTATAGCACTCTTTAATCTTGCGGTCTATGATGCCAATAGGCAAAGTATAGTGCTAGCAGGAGCTGTTCCCCTACTCATTGATCTTCTCATGGACGACAAGGCTGGTATAACTGATGATTCCTTGGCGGTTCTTGCCCTCGTCTTGGGCTGCAACGAAGGGCTACAAGCATTAAGAAAGAGTAGGATCTTTGTGCCTCTTCTTGTTGATCTATTGAGATTTGGATCTTCAAAAGGGAAGGATCATTCGATAACACTTCTGCTAGGACTCTGCAAGGATAGTGGAGAGGAGATAGCGGGAAGATTATTGATGAATCCAAGAAGTATTCCTTCTCTCCAGAGCTTGGCTGCTGATGGCTCTCTGAGAGCTCGAAGAAAGGCTGATGCTCTCCTAAGACTACTTAATAGATGCTGCTTTCAATCTCAGTAAGCCTGACAGATTAGAGAAATGAATACACTGTTAGATGAAAATACTTTTCACCTTAGTTTATTGTTATTCAACCTTTATCCATTCACCTTCAACCTGATAACATCCAATCAAGTTGTAAAACCATTTTTCATTAAAGCAACATTGAAATGCAAATTACTATGAGTCAGTATATAGTTTCAGCTTTTGCTCCATCAAAAACCTTCTGATATGACTATAAAAAAAAGAAGAGAAAATCAAGGGGGGGAATTTTTCACCATATATTGACCCTGAGTTTGTCAGATCAGAAAGCATATTCAGCAAAAGCACTGTCAAAGTGCAAACGATAGTAAGATGAGAATACTCAAATGGAGATTAGACAATAGAACTTTTGATCAAAAGTTCAAAATATAATTGCTTTAGCATTAGTAACCAGAAAGGCAATCATGATAAGAATAGCGAGTAAAATGCTTCTCTCCAACTTCGACTCCCGATAGAAACAGCTTCGTCTCTGGCCAACATAATCTATGACAATGCATTGTTCACATTTCACACACTAATTAGACCTTTGCCGTGGAAAGAAAAATCTGCAATTTCTTTCATATTTTAGTTGCCTTGCTCTCTTTTTCCTCGAAAGATAGCACTGCAACTTCAGTCCAAAGAGAAGAGGTTATTCCCAACTCCCATCAACCTAGAAACATAAAAGTAAACATAGATCCACGAGCATATATCTTTCATAGAATCGATCTTGTTACAGAAATCAAGAAGTATACAACAATGACCAGGAAACCTGGAGTGGAACTCAATTATTCACATTTATACAGGGGAAAAAAGGAAAGAAAATATACAACTGTGGTATTGAGAGTTGTAAAATTGTGCTTGCACATGATTTACAACTAAATTACAAACAGCCTCAATCACTTTGTTATTATATGGCATTAAGACTCATTATCACAAAACTGATGCAGAGTCGAGTGGTTCAACTTTTGTTCAACCAAGCCTGAACCAGTTACAAGCCCCAGTTGTGAACCATGATTCACAAAAGTGGGTAGGTATCTGTCAATCCTACTATAACACCACCAATTCCAACTGAACATGGTTGCCCATTATCTTGTAGTTCCAAAACCAGCTTCCAGACTCCATCAACTTATTCTCAATAGGTTTAAGTTCAACAGCTAACCCTGAACAACAGGAACACAATTAGTAAATAAAACTCAGTATTTTCAACCGAAAAAAATGGACACTAAACATAAGCCAGTCGGTATCAAACTTTACCAACACAGTAGCAGTAATTACATTTATACAGGTATGTACACAAAAATGTGTCAACGGAAGGACTATATAAGAAAGAAAAGATTTTTTATCATTAACATTTAAACATTGAATGCACCCAAGAACAGATCACGTTTCCAACTTCTCTATAGATGGGAATCCCTCACCCAATTGGAAGTCAGAAGGTTTTCTGGGAAGTGGACTAAATATATATCACTAAGATCATTTTCCAACTGAAGCATACGGCCCCAGGAAATTTGCATTTATTCAAGGTGTCTTTCTCAAACCCTCTCAAGACTTACCTTTATTTACCCCACATGTGCTTGCATCTATTACTGATTTCAGGCCTTATAGAACCTAGGTACACATACACTGCCAGGATGACCTTTATTTACCCCATATTTTTGTGCTTGAGAATGTATGTATACTAATATCTGTATATACAATATAATTACTACTACTATGTTAGTAAAGTTTGGTACACGTACCTGGGTTCTACAAGACCTTTCGGTAATAAATGCAGGTTCATACATACTCTTGTCAGCTTTCACCAGTGCAACATCTTTTCTAATAGTCTAACAAATACCTCACTAAGATGCTTATGTGAAAAGATGCAAAGAATAACTCTATTGACAATAGTATGTCCAAATTACTTTTTAAGTGTCCAGAAGCGCAATACCTAAAACCTGTATTAGAAGGCTGGTTTGGTTTGGTTTATCAAAACTGGTTTTTGATTATTTAAAAAGTGATAAAGTAGAAAATTGGTTAAACATGGTTAGTTATTAAAGTGATTTTTGTTCAATAGCATGACAAAGTTTAATGCCACCATTAATAAATATGAAATGCCTCTGCAAAATGCATCTAACAAAATAATGAACGAGTAAAACAAGCATATATTAGATCAAATGTTCTAGAAACCTGAATCTCCAGTTGTTATCTTCATTTTGTAACCATCTGGAACTTCAAAAACATGATTACCCTGCATTCAGAAAAAACAAGATAAAGGAACATTTCAGCATCTGATAAAATAAAACAAAAAAGCACAGTAACAGGATTTTCAATAGGGCAGGATTCATGAATAATGAGTCATGTAAGCCATATAGTTCAAGTTCCTTTTAACAGAAACACCAAATCATGGTAGCATGACCAAAGTTAATCATCAGCATAAGTGATATTATCTTGCCCTTTTAGTTTTTTTATTTACTTTCAACAAACCCTCCCTCTTCCAAGGGCAATCTGGGACAGAAAACTATAACATACAACTTAACAGAGTCATATTTGCATAAGTTGGTGATAACGTAACTCCCAAAGTACAACAAGAATTCACAACTACATTTTTTCATGTTCAAATGCTAATCATATAATCTAAAGTCAAGCAAACCTGCAATATAACATCCACTGCTTCAAATTCTGCATTTCCATGAAGTATCACCTTTACTGCCTCAAACCGCTGCACATCGTGCTTCCAGTATAAATTTTCTCTTGCATTCCAATCAATTCCATCATTCAATATCTTGACATTCTCCAGCTTACATCTCCCACACCTACATAAAGGATTTTATCATTAAATGTACATCTTCCAAACTAGTAAATTCAAGAATCAAACAACCAGGTGGACTTCATTACCTTTTTCCATAATGAAGAACGGTTTCACCATTTTCATCAATCCTTGGAGAACCTAGAACATTCTCAGCTAAAATGATCAAACTCCCATCAAGCTGAAAAACAAAGCCAAGCAAATTGGTCATAACGAGCAGAAAAGTATGACCTGCAGGGGGAACCAAGAATCCTAACCTGCACATCTCTCCACAAGAATTCAGCAACCTCTATTTGCAACTCTGAACCCCTAGAGATAGAACCTCGATGGAACTAAGAGAGACAAAGCAAAAGAAAAGGTTACAACTTTCAGGATAGTAAAGCATGCCAGACTGGAATAATGTAAATTGATTAATTATGCTACTAGCATTTTGACGAAGGTAGACGATGGCCAGGGAAGAAACAGTAGTATGTCCAATGATAAATAAGGACTAGATATCATTTTTCAAGGCCAATTTTCAAATCATAGTCACAGCTTTATGCTCTGGAGGTTCCAGGGAAAAATTCCAGATATGAGGGAGAACTGAAGTAAATTAAAACAATGCAAGTCAATGAAACACTTTAACAGAAAGGCAATTGCTGGATTACCTTCTGTCTGGTTACTTCCCAAAGGGGGCCTAGAGCAGGATGGAGAAAAATTAGAAATGGAGGCCCAGAGTCAACATACTTTTCATTACCTTCAATCTGTAGATATATATAAAAAGAGTATAAAGAAGTGTACTAACTTCAGAAGAAACAGGTGCTCTGAGGAATCAGACTGGAATAAATTGCTCACTAATGAACACACTAACCAAGTTCAAGTAACTAGATAATAGTACTCCAAGAGGTACGCACACAAATGCCGAAAGTTTAGCCCAAGAATATACCTTTGGAAGTTTGATCTCACAGTGAGAAAGAATATCATAGGCATTACGCATTATATCCAATAGCGATCCATCTGGAGTCTGCAAAGAACAATTTCGATTCCAATGAGTTATAGTAGTACTTCTGATCTCATCTAATTTCTGAAAAAGTAAACACAGCCATTAAATTACAGATTCACCAAAACTGTGATGTTAGACTTTGGGATTTGACTCTCATTACCAGAAATGTAAATCCATTATTTTCTTTTCCCTCAGCTGCAAATAACCTCAAATAGTTGATAAAGAGTAAATTGTTTTCAGCCTCATTTCCTTTGATTTGAACATTTCTTCTTTGGAGTGTCCATAATTATTTGTTACTTCACTAAAAGAAAAACTATTTTATACACATTGAGTGAATCAAATATTTTAAGTTGACGTTTTGACATAGATATTTTTACAAATCAAACTTCCAAACAGTCTTTGTAATCAACTACAAATACTCAGTTTTTTCAACTTAAACCAAATATTGTTCAAACGGGCATAAACAATCTTAATCATTTGAAACCCAAAATGAACAACAAAAAGTGCAATGGCTGTTGATAATATCAATTATCAACAATTAACAAGTTAGTAGTCAAGCATTTAATAGAGTACAACACATGCAATCTTTGCCTGAAAATATTCAGCGCAATAGTGTTGTCTTGAAAGAGATTGCAGATATGGCATATTCGTGTTCTGTTAATTTTGTCAGCTTATTTATTTATGTTACTTAGACCAAATATGTGAAGATACTTCAGTTATTGCATGGCCGCAAACTTAAACTGATGACCTCTGCCTGCTCTACATTGTTAGATTGTGTGATCATTACATCTACAAGCTTACAGTTTATATCACATTTCAATTGTGGTAAAACAAAACTTAAACTGTTAGACAAGGGACGCTGTTGTTTATTGTTTTAGGTCAAGAATTTGCTTATCAGGGAAAACATGCTGCATGTTCCGGATTACTCAAAGAAGCTACTAAATTATGTAGAACCTGGTGAAGCGACGTGTCACCCTGTCTACGTTTCTTCTTGGCAGATGATGTCACCTTCTTTCTTTCATTGTATACAATAAAAGTATCTAGTTCATCTGCAATATAAGCAACATTAGTTCATTCAAAACTGCATCAAGCCTGGTTTATGATAAATGCAAAAATAAACTTCACTCAAAATAGCTGTGTTAGACCTTCGACACCATCATAACATTGAGATGAGAATGTATTGAAAAAGTTGTCAGCAAGGTTTTGCATTGTGCATTCAAGACGGCCACCTCGGACACTGGAATAGAAAGTAAAATGCTTGGTATCAGTAAAGAATTAGCATATCTGAATTATTGTTAATGAACTGAGAACTCGGTCAAATACGAAGCTACTGCAGGAAACAATTGATAATACAATGGGAAAACTTCCAAACGCAAGGATAAAAACTTCACATAGTCAAAAGTTAAAAAAGGTAACTACATCCAAGAAAGAAAGCTAAGTAGATACTTCTTTCGGAACCATGGATCCATGGATAGAACCACTATACAACTGATAGTCGGCCATAGATTAGGCAATGTTTCTTGAGGACCCATTTCAGCCTTTTCCTTGAGTGCTTTAAACAGTGCAGTCATTTCAAATTTTCTTTTCAGTTCAAAATTACCAGTTTTTAGAGTGTTTTTGAAGTTGATGACTAAACTTTTAAATAACTTCTAGTCATCCTCAAAATTTTTGATTGTTTTTTGAGCTATGCTTCAATTTTCATTTTTTGGAAAGTGTGACAGTGATGGCAGTTTGTCTTGAACCTAAAACTTCAAACAAAAAGATAATGATTTGACATGGCACTATAACAATTTAAAGTTTACTAGAGGAGCTATATATATTCATGAGAGCAAACTGATGTTGCAGAAGAGAATTACTATTATTAAATTACTAGAGAACTACATAGAGACTTTACAACTCCCTATTCTTTCAAAAGGAAGTGGTGGCACGAACCAACTGGAAACTACCAGAGACAAACCTTTTTTTCACAGCAGATTTATACCCAAGGCACATGTGATGTCCCATCAAGAATAAACTATAGGAAGGGTTATATATGTGACACAATCATCTTTTTGAAGTCCAGCAGTTCAGAACATGGTGCTAGTCCAGTAAATCATAAGGAGCATACGTCAAAGTTATTAGTCAAACAAAATTCAATATACTAACTTTTCCCTCAGATATTTCGCAAGTAACTATTTTTTTTAATATAGTGTAACATGCTACTGACACTAGCTTTATTGTGAGGATAACTAGAATCCTTAGGTCCTCCAATTTTCATTAAAATATTGATCGCTTAAAGTGACGTATTTTTACATAGGAATTGTACAAAATTCTGACCAAGGTATTGCAATATTAATGGGAAGAGAAAATAGATATTATGCTAGGTGTAAAAGAATAGAAATTACTCCTTCGTTTCAATTTGTTTTGATTTGGCACGGAGTTTAAGAAAGTAAAGAATGTGGGTGAGCTGGAATTATTTCATGCGGGAAGCATTTTTAATCTTTATGGTCAATATATTCTAAGTGAAAAACAGAATGGTGAGCTGGAAGTTATAACAAACCAAGATACTTTCATATCTGGTGTTCAATGCATTTTTTGTATTCATGGAATCTATCAGCAATAAATTTGACAATCAGCACATGTCCCAATCAAGAAAGACAAAGAGGCTTTTAGAGTAGCTTACACACCCAGAAGATGTATATCTTACCTATGCTTGCTTCTGAACTGGTCCACAAATGTGATTTCCTTTTTCACATTAAGCACCATTCCAGGCAAACTAGTCTCATCATTACTTGAAGCAACAAGCTCAGCAGAGGGCAAATCAACATATAGAATGTTTGTATTGGCAGGAAATTCGTCCTGTACACTTAACAAAGGACGAAAATACGGAATAAGAATTTTCTACAGTGTTAAGAGTAATTATAATAAGATCATCATGACCATGGATAGTTGGACAGAAGGATAAAAAAGTAATGATAAAACTGTGCTTATAGTTACAAACAAAGAGGCCAGCTTTACACCTTATACAAGAAATAGTGCGTTCAAATAAGAATGACACCTTTTTATTGGAAACATTTCAACTTTACACTTCGCATTTTACCCTTAATGGCATGCTTTTGCAGTCACAAAAATCTAATGGCATGTTTAAAACTACAAGCAAGTCTTTTTTAAACTCCTTGTCCAATCAAACACTGCCACATAAATTGAAATGGAGGGAATATCATGTAAGCATCAACTAAGAAGTGAGGCAACAACACTGGAATGGAAGGTTGGAAAAGTTAATCCAAAAGGATAAGACATTTCATCTAGACAGACGAAAGGTGTTCTGAGTCTTCACTCTTATGCACCACAGGTGCCCTAGAATCAACCCAATGGACATCAAGAGAACTACCATAGTGACAAGTCCTCCACACATGCAATAAGAGTCTTGATGCAGTAATAAATTCTCAAGTTTAATATCATCAACATAAAATTAGTTTCTACACTTCCAGAAAAGCAACTGAGAGCATAAGGTAATTTTTAGGCACACCTTAATTTGAATTTTTGCATCAGAATTGGATTCTGTTTGACTCTACTTGATTGCCAAAAGGTCTTCATTCTTATTATGTACATGCATCACCAACCTCAGATCATGGACCATAATGTCAGGTTCAGGGAAATTTATAGCATCAACAATTAAAAGCTATTTAGAAAAGTTGATTCCGGAAGCTACAAATGGCAGCATCAATTTGTAGTAGGAAATTCCTAGTGTCAGCTGGTACTCTCAAGAGACTACATACAAGGTCATTCAGAATGCTAAAGCTACTGTCACAAGCAGAAACTCGTTTTGATACATTTTTTGATGTCATCATTTTAAAACTCGTGAATGGACGATGAGCTGACCAAAGGATCCAATTAAAGGAATCATTCGAATTTGAATAAGAAATGACATAGAGTACCTGTAAGAAGAAAGGGGATTATCTGTCATCCCAAACTTGTCAAACTCGGTATATTCTATGCAGGATATACCACAAGTCCATTTCCCCTCAAGATTCTTCTTCTCAATAAGAACATTTATGCCTTCAGTAGCACCAGCATTTCGCTTACACGAAGCAAAGCCCAGTTTCTGGAAATTTTGGATATGACCACAAATATAATAAGTAAATAACAGTACGATTCCAGTCTAGAGCAAGAAAGAAATAAGGCATAAGGTCAACATGGCTAGGCCAAAATATACTCTTATCCTGGCTTCTCCAAGCAGAGCAAGTTACTTAATAAACATATCTTGTGTTCCATAAACTGTTCCTGCTAATCCAATATTTAAGAATATTGATTTCTCCCAGGGTGAGGGAGGCACTAATATCATGAACTAAATGGATTCATATTTGCCTAATCAGCAAGTCCTATTTGATCTCCTCCCGACTGTCGAAATTGGGTGATCCAGGAATATCAAGAATAGATTGCAGTCAAATCCAATTCTCCAATTATCTACTGTCCAGACTGCATGGTTTTTTAAAATAACTGACATGGTATAATTCCATACCTTTCCTTGACGCAAACCAATTCCAGCTAAAGCCAAAAGAGTCACATCTGTCGCTGCCACAACATTACTGCATAGTCAAGAATGTCAACCATATTCAAGACATAGATTATACCACAATTGCTCTTTTTATTCTAATTAGTAATTATTTTAAAACACAGTTAAAAATTTGAAGTTAACCTGACTTGTCGCACGGTTGCACCTCGTCTTCCATGATCATGAAACCACTGGAAAACACCTTCATTATAAGCAAGTTTCCAGATCACCCCATGACCACCTGGCTTGCATACAGGTTTGAATGGTCTACCAGCCAACCACTGCCCATCTTCTGCACTAACAGCTGGAACAAGAGGCTAGCAATTGACAAGTAAATCACCAAATGAACAGATTATGTAATATATATAAGAACACACATCAAATCATGGAGTCATAGGAACGGAAAGCATTCAAATTTTTACCTGCTCGAAAAGTTTAAACTTTGATCTTCCCCTTCCAAACCAGCGGAGTTCCTCACAGAGTGTGGTGACACGCTCATGATTGCTTTTTGCTGCACTTGTCATGATTGCAACTGGAGTGATGCATTGTTTTCCGTATAACTTGAAATACAGGTACTCCCTAGCCTTACAGTAGTTAAAGGATATCATCATCTCTGTTGTGATTTGGTTTAGAACACTATGAATGCAGAAACAAATCACTTGATAAGGGTATTTCGATTACCTGAAGATCTCTTATAAGACCTTCTAATAGAGTACGCCCACAGTATGGAAGCATTGCAGCTGGAAGACATTCACCTGAGTTTGAGTCAACCAAACCCAGCCTGTCTGCCGAGCCACCAAGAGGATATATTTCACCCATGTTTGGCAAACCCTTCAAAAGAGTTAAACAGTGAGTAGATCAATACCAGCTTACATGTATTGACATCTGTAAAATATAGCATTGACTAACTTCGATTCCCCATATAGCTGCTTGAGATGCATATTCTAAATCATGAGAAAGATCAAGCACATTTGGAGGATGAATTTCTGTTATGTCACGCTTGAGAGAACTATTTGAGTTATGGGACAGACACGGTCGTTCAAAAGTTGACTGAGCAAGAAGCTCAAGGACCATGATTTGATACCTGCAGCAAGAACTTTGTATTTCATTAGCACGAGTGGCTTGAAAAGCTCTGGACCTATCAATAAATAGATCAATGATGGGAAGGTTTGATAACAAAATTATTTTTGAAACAAAATAAAAGAAAATCATTTTTTATGATTTTCTAAAGATCCTCGTGTACAAAGCTTAAAGGAGAACTTATAAAGTTGAATACATTTGGTGAAAAATATCAGAGTATGAAGGCTCAGCAAGTATTAGATGAAATGAAGGGGATACAGCATAAGGAAACTAACATTTACGGGTAAAAGAAACACTCAACTCTGCATATCCAAAAAGTTGGAGGTACTTAAGTAGACATATCAGAGTATGACAGCTCAGCACATATTAAATGAGATGAAGCGAATATAGCATAAGGAAACTAACATTTACTTTTTAAAATAAACACTAAACTCTTTGCGCTCCAGAAAGTTGTAGGTACTTAAGTAGCCTTATACAATTTATGCTATCTCAAATTTGTCCACAAAAATCAGTAACTGAACCACCTAGAAAAGGAATTTACTTTTGAACACTTGGTGTTATCTCAAGTTTGTCCACAAAAATCAGTAACTGAACCACCTAGTAAAAGGAATTTACTTTTGAACACTTGGTGTTCTTCCATTATATTATTTAAGCACTTCGAAAAACTGGATTGGACAGCAACCATTTTAATTATATTACATCAAATTCTGCAAAAGTATTAGGCAAGTTTGAGTGATTTCCATATGCTCATTAATAATAAGTACTATCTTTGCGGTTGCATAATAATAGATAGTAAGGTTTTAAATTCTTAAATGATGGTGGTGTCCGGGTCAGCTTGCACGTCTACCCCCACCAGCACAAAGGTACGTGATCCACCAAGATTCAGGTAGAATGGAAGAAATAACCTAGTTTTTTTTCCTCTGCTGGGATTTGAAGTAGAGACCCCATGGTTCTCCCCCACTTCATTAAGGAAGTAACTTAACTTGTTTATTTACGAGCTTCAAATTTTAGTTTATAACGCCCTTACTCACTAGGAAAATGCAAACTTGTTATCTCCTTTCATTGTACTTACTGTCACTGTTCAGGCACTCACCTATTATACTCTAGTGAAGGATCTCAAAAGTCTGGATACAAACTTGTATGTCAGCGTCCAAGGTTCAGCTTGTTGAAATTAATAAGTAACAGAAGAAATTAAGTCCAATGGGAGCAAACATAGAGAACTAACCCTATTATTCCTCCAATGCAATCATAAAACCGCTCGACCTCTGCAATAATTTTCAACATTGACCTCAATGCCTCAAGCTCTTCAATTCCAAGGCCATAACCATTAACATCATGGCGACCAATACCCTCATTTACATCCCAATTGTCAATCATCTCCGCCAAAGCATAAAAAGCACTCTTCAGTGAACTTCTTGTGGCGTCAAACTCTGTACAAACATCACCAAAAACATGCTGTTGTCCGGCAGCAACCACGCATTTGAGCAAAAACACTTCATACTTATCCAAATGCAAAGTGTCCAAAACCCTAGAAAACGAATTCTTATGCGAATAAAAAAAGGAATTTACACGACTATCAGAGTCAATCACTCTGATTCTGTCCTTCAAATTAGTACAATTATCAAGCTTCGATTTCAAATCTTTTAACCTGGCGATTTCTTTGTGAAAATCAAAGTCAGGTGCTGGTGGCACGTACTCTACAGGCGCGGTGGTAACGCGCGTGAGTCGAACTAAAGGACGCGAGTATTGAAATGGTGATGAAAACAGAGAAGAGGAAGATGTAGAGGGTAGAGGCTTCGTTACATAATTAAGAGAAGAGTCTCTATAAGAGTTGAAGAAGAAAAGTGAATTTGTATATTTTGAGGTGAAAGTGAAAAGAAGGTTGTTGTGCTGCTGAAGCACTGGCGTCGAGGACGCCATTGGAGAGGGATAGAGAGTAAGCAGTTCAAGGGAGATTTGAATTTGTAAGGGAAAAGAGAGGGGATAAGGGGAGATTCGGAAAGCATATGCCCGGGGGGAAATGAAGGATATTTAAAGCAAAGGAGCCAAACGTCACAACAATGTCCAAATAACCGTCGGAAGCCTCATCATCAACATCTTCTGCCTCATTTTCATTGGTTGCTCGTATTTTCCTTCGTTTTTTTTTTTTTTTTTTTTTCATGTGTTTTTGGGTCTTAATTTTCTTTCACCACATTCATCATTTTTAACTTAGTTTGGTATTTATTTAAGAAAAAAATTACATAGCAAAGCAAAATATACTCCCTCCATTTAAAAAAGAATGTCTTAGCTTGACTTGAAACGGAGTTTTAAAAAAAAAGAAATTTTTTTAATCTTGTGGTTCTAAATTAAAGTTACGTTAAATGTACCTTGTAGCCTTAAACATATCATGTGGAAAGTTGAAATTAAAGAGTTGTCAAAAAAGAAAAGGGGTCATTCTTTTTTAAACAGAATAAAAAGAAAATGAAGCTATTCTTTTTGAAACAGGGGGAGTATATAACTATAATTTAATAAAATTCTAATTCGCAGCTATCATAGCTCGAGTTGATTTACGAAATTTCATTGTCAACCATAGAGAAAGCTTCGAAGGTTAAGTTCAAATTACGGATTCATGAAATTGTTGCTAAAATTAATGGGTGATATTTTGAAAAATTGGATATATTATGAGGATTTGATATCTCTAATTTGGGGATTTTTTGTTTAAATGTGAGAACTTTTCAAGGAATTAAACACACACATATATGTAGGGATTAATAGAATCAAACCGCGAACCGCACAAATCAACAAATCGAGTCTAACCAAAAAAACCCAACTAGTGAATTGGTTCGATTTGATTTGGTATTTTAAAAACCCTGACTATAAATTGTTTGATTTGGTATTAACTAAAAAACAACTCAAGATCAACCAACCCGACTATAAATGGTTTGATTAGGTTTCTCATTTTCTAAATTTTAATTTAATTATATATATATACACATATACTCGTTTAGGATAAACAAAGCCTAACTCAACTAATTTATATAAAAAGTTGCAAATTATTGACTTTAGGTTAAAGATTTTCAATTCCTCTTGAGCTCTTCATTTTCAAGTTATTAAGGCACATCTTTAGTTCCTCATTCAGTTCCTCGCAACTCAGTTTAAGTTTGGGCAAGTATTGTAACATCTCGCCCTAGAAAGAGCTAAATATAGAAAGAATTAATTTGGAAAGAGTCAAATTGAAAATTTTGGCAAGATATGCTAAGTATGAGTTTTGGATCAACTTCAAACGACCATAACTTTCAGTACATGACGAGTTAGGTGGCCCATAAGATATCAAATAAAAGGTCTTGGAATCCCCTTTCCAACGCTATGGAGTTTGCTAATTTTTGAGTTCGGATGAGGGATATATGATCATTTGAAAATATATCTTTCCAATTAAGGGAAGTTACCCGGATTTAAGAGGGGTATTTTGGTCTTTTCCTTACCCTTTCAGATTTAATCAAAATTTGGTAATACTTAGGGGTCTAAACTGATTTGGTTCAGTTTTACAAATCCTAATTTACGCTGGGGTTTTGAGAGGAGTTCAAAAAGAGGAGAGAAAAGGAGAAAAATCAAGGCGTTCTTCAAGTTTCTTGCAATTCGAAGGTTGTTTCGTCAAGGGTTTGATCCCTAAGAGGTATGTGAGTTCTCATAGTGTTGGGTTCGTTCACCCACACGCCAATTGTGTTATTTTCAGTACAATTCCGTTCTTGAAATCGAAGAAATTGAGTTATTGATGAGTTTTCTTGAAGTTCATTCGAAATATTGATTTATGGGGTTGTTGATGAGTTCTTGAGATTAGTTTTAGTGCTTTGGGTGTAGTTTTGAGTGGATTATCGTATACTAATGTTGGGCATTCGAATCTAAGTGAGTTGGGTAGAAACCATTCGATTCTAGGTAAATTGAGGTTAGAAAACGAGTAAGAAAATTCGTCGGAAAATCTGGGCATGGGGCATCGCGCCACTCAGTGCGCCTCACTTGTGTTCTGTAGTTTGGGGCCTGGCGCCCTACGCTAGCCAGTGCGCCCCAACTACCTTTCAATAGTTTAGGGGCTGGCGCCCAGAGCCACTCAGTGCGTCAGGGTCGCCTATCCCATTTTGTCTTCAGTTGTTTAACCCGTCTGAGTTCCATTAAAGTGTTCCTTCAATCCCTATTGATTCTAAACACTCTAAACTACTTCTAAACATCTAGAAATCATTCATAAAAAAAAAAAAACAATCTTAATCATTCAGTATTCAGATCTGGAGACAACATCCTAGTCATTTAGATATGCGATCATACATCTTAATCTTAACAAAAAAAAATGAAATCTACGCCTTTAAAAAATTGAGAAAATTGGTACGAGGTTCACATTTCCATTTTAAAAAGTTGTTAGCACTCAAAGTGTTTGCTAACATGCAATTATCCGACGATTTAACCAGAATATTTGACTAACTTTGGGATAAAAAAAATGGGATAAGGTAGAAATATCCCCTAAACTATGATCGAAATCTCAGAGACATACATAAACTTAACTAGGGTCCTATTACCCCCTAAACTCATTTTTCATATGTGCACATTTTTTGTGCTGGCGTAACAATTTTAACCACCCAAGTTGACTGTGATTGCACACACTCGCCTACCACATGTGTAAATGTTTTTTAAAAAATAATTATTTTTTTTAAAAAAATTTAATATTTTCTTTATCGTGTATTTAAGTTAAGTTAATACACATATTTTTTTTGTCTTGTATCAAACTTTTTTAACCTTCATTCATTGTTTTTTCTCTTTTATTTTTCTATTGATTTTATTTATTCTTTTTATTTTCTTTGTCTTTCCTTTTGATTTGATTTCAAATTTAATTTCAAATGTCTTGTATATAAATAGGTTTTTTGTTTGAAAGGATATCAAAACAAGTGAAGAAAATCAAATAAAACATAAAAAAAATTAAAGAACACTTTTTAATTATTTTTTAAAAAATACACATAAATTTTAAAAATAATTAAAAGTGAAAAAATAAGAAATTAGTGAAAGAAAAATATAAAAATTTTAAAGTGAGAAAGAATTTAAAATAAATATTTTACAAAGAAAGAAATGAATTATATGGACTAACTAATTATAAAATTACCAATAAAAAAAACACGTGTCCAATTTGTTCACTCATCGCATGTCTTCAAGAGACTATGCACACTTTTCATGTCACGTCAACATTTATGGTGTATTTATTCCATTTAAATTAGTTTGGGGTGGTAATAGGACCCTAGTTAAGTTTAAGCGTCTCTAAAATTTTGGCCACTGTCTAGGGGGTACTTGTAACATCCGACAATTTAAAATGAATATGAAGAAGCTTGAAATTGGAAGTAGTCATTTTTGGAAAAAAATTCAGAATCTGGAAATTCGGCCAAGTGTGGAAATCAGTGAGTTTTTGGCAAACTTTGAGCAGTCATAACTCCTAGCTCAGGATGTTCCAGGAGTAGTTCCAGTTATGTTTGGAAATCCCTTGGAACGATCTTTCCAATGCCACCGAGTTTGCTCGATTCCGAGTTCGTATGAGCGAGTTATGCCCTTTGAAAGTTGGGCAGTTGGCAGGGAGTCCGTCCGGAAATTTAAGGGCATTTTGGTCTTTTCACAAATCATTTCTTTTGAGGTTATATTGTTGTGTTAGGCTGATTGTGGATCATTTTTGTTCCATTTTAAAAGAGTAAGAGTGAGGGTTCTTGAGTGAAGAAGAGAAGAAGAAGAAGAAGTGGGAGCTAGGGTTGTGGATGCAAGACGTTTTCTTCATCAAATTTCTTGGGGAATCTTAGTAAAGGTATGGAAGTTCTTTATCTAGGGCAAGCTATCACCCTAGAGCCAATTTCAAATGGTTTTCAACTTTTTCAAAGTTTGTGAAAAAGCCTAATTTCTACTCAAACTCATGGGTTCTTGCATGAAACGATTTCAAATGATAAGTTATGATATTATTGATGTTTATTTGATGTTTTAAGATGAAAAACTCCATGAATCCATGTATTCTACAAAACCCCAAAATGTGTTTATGAAGTGGGTCTATTTCTATAAATTCAAAGTTGATGGAATTATGTGTAAAATGAATCGTATTGATATCTCTTGTGTTGTTTAATGTTTATTCATGATTAATTGTTGATATTGGGTGAATTAAGGGTGGTAAGCCTTATGAGTGAAGTATTGGTGATTGCTTGGATTTTTGGTGATTTTGGCTATGGCTTTGAATTATGGTAAGAAAGCTTGAACTCTCTTTATTGAATTAATTGTTGTTGGTAGGTTGAATCCACATTTGGTGGAAGTGTTATATCTTGTTCTTGTGTGGTATTATTGTGAATTGTAGCCATGAAGGCATTGGGGAAGTTGTTGCATAATGTTGGAATATTGTATTATTGTGAATTGAGGCCATGAAGGGCATTATATGAGTGTTATTGTATTGTTATATTATTATATATGAATGAGGCTATATGTAAAGTCCTATATGAAGCTATATGTAAAGTTTTATGTGAAGCTATATGTGAAGGTATGATGTGAATGGGTTTTATGTGAAGCTATATGTGAAGGTATGATGTGAATGAGTTTTATGTGATCTTGTGATGATCCTATGTAAAGTGGATAGCATTGTGAGTTAAAGTATGATTTCTCATGATGTATATATGAAATGATGTTGGATTATGAAGTATCCTTAAATGAAAATGTTGTGACTTGGTTGGTAGACTAAAGTGTCCCTTCTTGTTACTTAAAGTCTTGAATGCATGAATGTGTGAAATGGGCAGAACTAAGAAATGGTGCCCTTTCTATAAATGCTAAAAGAGGAATTCTAGGCCAAGACTTGAATCGGCAAAACTAAGAAATAGTGCTCTTTCATAAGTCTAGCTTTCCTAAGTAAATGTAAAACCATGAAATCGGTAGACCTAATGGTGGTAGCCCTTCTCATGTGTGAAATGATGAACCTTGGACCGGCAGGCTTAAGGCACCCTTAATGAAAAATCGGTAGGCCTAAGGCACCCTTC